CGGAGAGCTAAATTCTGATTCCTGCTGATATATACTTGTACTATTTTCTCGTATCTATTTAATGGGTTTAGATCCCCCAATTTCTAGGGTTTACTCTGTTCCTCTGTCTGTGATTTAACTTTCCAGTGTTGTGAATCTATCTCTCTTCGTATATATATATATAGCCTCTGCAAGTATATAAGACTCTGTTCTCTGCTTATGCGTTTGAGTGCCTGTGTCTCTATAATGATGTTTTAGATATGATGAAGAAACAAAAGCTGGACGATTCTGTTTATGATAAAGAGAAAGTTGGGGTTGAGGATGAGCAAGAGAAGCGTCGCTACAGATCTATGGCCAAGGTTGCAATTGGTAGTGGGATTAATCCTTCCGTTGAGAACTCGGTCATTTTCAGAATTAATCCACACAGTTTGCCCGAGTTTTACCCTCGATACTTCGAAACTCGAGCGTACGATTCTGGAGATGTACGAAGAAGGTCAAGAAACTGTTGAAAGTAGATGCAGCATATGGGAAACTAACCCTCTCTTATGAATGGATGGTTGCTGGATATCGGACTGACGACATTGAGGGTCCGGTTTTGCACGAGGATTTCATCGTTATAAGCGTGTATTTCGCTGATGAGAATTTCAAGATGAAGAAATGGATCGTGGGGTATCATCCTTGTAAGTCTTTGCGTGTGAAAGACATTTATGTTGATTCTTTCAAGAATGTTATTCAGGATTACGAGATTGAGAGCAAGGTCACTTCTCTTCTGGTGCCTAACTATGATGATCTTGGTGTTAAAGCGTTTGATGCTTTTAGAAAATGGATAGAAGAGAGAGGGAAAAATCCGATCAACCCTCGTGTGTTCCTCATCTATTGTTGCTCTGACATTTTCCGGTTGATGGTTGATGACATGTTAAAGGACATAGGCTTTTGGGTGATGGATCATGTTCGGATGTTGGTTGGTTGGGGAAGAATGGTACCTACCAATTGGGATGTCACGTTATATAATCTGCAAAAATCTGTAGATATGGAAGCCAAGAATGTATTTGAAGAGGAAGAGGATTACGAGGATTATGAGCTCTACCATCTGATGAAGAATGGATAAAAATTAAAACGTTTTGCAAACTCGCCGGTTGCATTTATAAAGTCGCAAAGGAGGACAGTATCCAACGTCTAACGTCTACTTCCACCTTCTTGCTGAGCTAAAGTTTATGCTAAACCAAGAGCTCAAGAGTGGAGATAATGATTACTTCCTCAACAAAGCTAAGGAAATATTGGAGAGGTTTGATAAGTATTGGAACAATATGTTTCTTGTTTTGGCAACTGCTTTTGTGTTAGACCCTCGGTTCAAGTTGAAGTATCTTGAGCTCTACTGTACAAAGAACGGAGTTAGTGATGAAAGTTCAAAAGCTGAAACTGTTTTGGACTATTTACGCAATCTATACGCTTGCTACGCATCTAGTGATATCCGTCCACAACCAGAACATGTGGATGGTGCAGTTTACCGAAATCCCGACTGGTTTAAGTATATC